TTACTAGATGTTTAGTAACAAAATTCGCCTACCGAGAAAACCCTAAATCGTTACAAATAAATCAGTAATTATATTTTGAGTTAGACTCATTCCCTTTATTATCCTTGATTATGTAAGCATTTATGTACCTTTTACTTAGGATCAGCACATGATTTTTAATTAGTATACATTAATCAACTTAAAAAACTAGGTATTCGGCTTTAGACGTTCTTATCCAACCTTATTCGAAGATACAGTAACACATTGTTTATGCTAATCTCATTTAGATAATAGCATATATGTGCATAACACGTAATACGCGCATACGCGCGTTACATACATACGTACATGATTCCAATTCGAATTTATTTCGTTTTTTTTTTCCTTAGAAGCTCTCATCAAGTAAAACATTCTCGTTAAGATACTCTGTTTCAATTAACAGGGACACTGCATCATATGCATCTAATATTTCTTTAAGATTATACTTTAGAGTTATACTTGAGAGCTATACTTGAGAATTATACTTGAGAGTTATATCTGAGAATTATACTTGAAGTTATACTTGAGAGTTATACTTGAGAGTTATACTCGAGTTAAATGCAATAAATTTATTATACGATTTAGCATTTATTATATTATTTAACACTATGAAGCTTTACAAATTGTTCAAATATTTTTGAATAAATATGCTAATTTACGCTATCCGAGTTTTTATATCTAGATTAATCCGTGTTAGTTTGGTTCTTTTGCCCAAAAGTCCTTATACACATCATATACATGTTCAAAGTTCCAATCTCTCTAGCCATATCTTTTAATATTGCATTATACTTTTCATCGGTATAACCTACTACCTTATTACCTTCTTTATCATTACTCTTAAGGATTCTGCTGCTTTGAGTAGAATTGTTGATGATCCCTTTTTTATTAAAAAAAAAATTGCCAAGCTTTGAAAGTTTAGAACGATTTAATCTAATATATTCATTTATGTATGAAATTACCTGATTCTCTAAAGTTGTATTATGATGTGAAAGGTAATAATATTTCACTTCAACCACTTGAATATTTTTAATATTTAAGGTTCTTAACTTGTTAGGAAAAGTAGATACAATGTTTGGATTTAGTCCATTATAATGGAAGCATTTATATACTATTTAAAAGCGATATACGTGAATTTAATTTATATAA